AAATTCAGGGCTGCTCTACAATGGGGCAGTGGGTTCCATGGACAGGGAGGCTTTTCCTCTTGAGCTCTCCCTATAGATCAGAGTAGAAAATGCCCCACAGGTGACAGCACCCAGCAGGGCTGATGCAGGCCTTCTGCTTGGCCCTCAAGAGAGCCCCAGACCCACTCCTCAGACCACAGATGACCCAACCCGCCAAGGATGTTTTCTCCACCAAGAGCTCACGGGATGAAGAGGCAGTGACCATTGCGCTGTGCTCGGCACTCGGTCATGTTAACATCTCGGTATTTTAGAAGAAGGGCCTGGGGAGTGGGCTGAGCCCTGGCTGGGGCAGCAGGCTTGGACCTGCCTCTCAAACAGGGTCTGTTGGGTGGACAAGGCTCATCGCCACTAGCCAGCCTCCTCCTCCAGGAAGCCTTCCTGACTTACGAGCCTCGGTAAGGGTCCTCGTCTGTGCCTGTCTGGTGTCCTTGCCCAGCTTGGCCACTGGCTGCTGCCTGCAGACATCACGGAGAGCTGACAGAACCTGGCTTTGGCCCATGCGAGTCCCCAGCACCTGCAGCCTGGTCCACAGCAGGTATCCAGGAGAGGTCTGCTGCATGCTACTGCCTGGAGAGCCCGGTCTGCCCAATCCGCACCCCTTGGCTGTGAGGGGCTCTCATTTCAAAGACTGAGTGCCACTAGCTATTAAACACCTGAAATGGCGGAGTGGCAGCAGCCTATGTGTTCAGCATCCTCATGATAATACTACAGAAGAGGAAAGTGAGGCAGACAGGTACCTGCAACCATCACAGTGACGCAGGCAGCCTCTCAGGACATGAGGTAGGTAGGCATCTGGTCCCACAGCCCTTGCTACCGTCTCCCCTTGTCCTATAGCCTGAGCCCCAGCACTGGACACAAAGCAGGACTTCCACTGCCCCTGAGCTCCCTGGGTTCTGGCTCACCTGCAGCTTCCTGCCCGAGTAGGGAGGAGCATGTTTTCGTTAGGATCATCACTCCGCCTAACAGAGCAGGTGAAGGGAGGCCAGTCGGCCACAGACAAGTCCACTGCCAAGGAAATCTTGGCAGGCCGCTCTAGGTCACAGGGGACGGACAGAGCCTGGAGTCAGCCTGGCCTAGCTCCAGGGGGGCCTCCTGAAGACCTGGGCCTGAGGCCCACTGCTGTCCCTCCCTGAGGAGGCACCTGCCTCAGAGCCTAGTTCTGAGAAGTAAATGGGGTAATGTCCTAAAGCAGTGGCCTTCAAACAAAACCCCCAAAATAAATGTTTAGAACTATATATCTATTTGCACAGTTTTAAGTTGACATCTAAAATTTCTCATTGTATGTTTAAATACTTGTAAAGGATGTAATTTCTAACATACTGTAAATATTAACATTTTAAAATAAAACTGTTACTATTTCTCTTTTAAATGAATCCAATGGAATCCAAATATCGTAGCGATTTGAGGGTCACCATCATCCATTTTAAAATTACACGATCAAGCCCTTCATTAACAGTTGGAAATTTAACAATGTTCCTTTTTCCTCCTCAAACTCCATTTTCCAATCCACTTTCCTCAGAGAAGTTTATACTATCACAGTGTATTTTATGTTTGAAAGCCTTTTATTGATTATCCTATTACAGCACTGGGTCAAAAAATGTATATAAATGTTCTTTTGTTTAATTTCATGTAATCAAAAAGCTGTAAGTATCAAAAATTTCCTCCTGGATTGAATTATTATTACAATTACCATTAGTACAAAATTGATCAACATGGCAGAAACACATTACAAAATCGTGTAAGTAATATGCATAAAAATAAACCATACTAGAAATACATCTCTGAAGAGAAGAATGGAAATTTTTTTCATTACTTCATTTATCCACAGATGACTATTGCCTATTGCTAGAATAAGACAGGGTTTATCAATTCTATCTCCATTTTTCAATTTTTATAGATACAAGTACTGAAACCACTTATTCAAGAAAAAGATGGAAGAGATGTGCCATAGCACATTCTTTGGATTCCTTTAGAATTATATGCAAGAATTACAGTAATCTGCTACCAAAAATCATTCTTAAGGTGCTATCCACTGACAGCTTGATCAGGTCCTCCTTCAACTGTGCTGCAAGCAAGGAACTGCAAATATTAATACCTCCATGGCTCCAGGATGACAATGACTGGCCACTTTCCCTGATGACTGGGAGGTTTTAGGCCCCACGGGTTTCCCCACCATGGGTCAAGGCCTGCCTGTGGACAACCAGTGTGCCGTTCTCCTCCAGACAGCAGCTTCCTGGTGCGCCAGGCCTGGCGCCAACGACTTTGCCCGAATTAACTCAGTCCTCGCAATGCCAAGAACAGGCACCATGATTATCCCCACTTTACAGATGGGCAGACTGACACAGAGTGGCTTAGCAACAAGCCAGGTCACACAGCCAGGACTAACTTGAACCCAGATGGTCTCACCCCTCACCCCTCCCCACTGTGTGTGCAAAGGGGAGGGAGGAGCATGTGAAAGGGTCGCCTGGGGGGACAGGGACAGAGAGTCTACACAAGGAGGCAGCAGCTGTGTGACAGGCACGGGAAGAAGCAGCAGAGCTGCAAAATGTATTTTCTTACTCTGCTGCTACCCCTACTCTGAAGGTCATACACAAACGTTACTTTAAAGTAAACGGCACAATGCCCAGTGCACTGTTGACCACAATACATGTTAAGCAGTGACCTTGTTACTGTTGCCATTAAATAGCTAGATGAGAAGTAACTCTCCTGACTGGGACAAACACACCAGGATCTCATCAGCGCTCTCTAGTCTTTAGTCTTGACCCTGCGCCCCAACAGCCTTTGTTAGATGGTAGCCAAAGCAAGGAAGCATTCAGTAAGTAGAGCAGCCTGGTAAGTAGAGGAGACCTAGTTGGCCCTCCCACTCACCAGCTGAATTCCCCAAGAGAAGTCAGGACACTGACCCTCCGTGTCCTCGCTGTTAAAGAGGGCACAACACCACCCACATTGCTGGGGTGACTGTAAGAGTGGGACAACGCCCATCAGAGGACCTGACACCAGGAAACACCACATGGCACGAGCGAGCGGCAAGGTGATGCTCACCCTCTTCAATCACTCGCTGCTGCACCCAGCAACTGGGAAATGCTCCCTCCGGCTCCCAGGGCCCCACGACCTAGGGATCAGGCACACAGAAGCACAGCTGATTTTGAAAAAGCAGCCAAGTGGCTTGGCTTCCAATTTTTGCAAAGAGCCTGTCTCAATGTCTTAAAATTTTTAAGTTCTTCAAAATGTAAAAGTTCTCAGGGATGCCAGGAGTTCATGAACGGAGAGGCATCGCGGTAGATTTTATTTTTAGATGCCAGAGTGGAAAGCGTCCAGTTTGGCTTCACTCTGGTCCCCAGCCGCCATTTCCTGCCCTAAGTCACCATCAAAATGAGCAGCAGACACATCTACAAAGATTTCACTCGGGAATGATTGTATGTGAAAAGAAAAAAAAAAACCCCAGCTAGAAAGATTTCACAACCCTTCTGCCCAGGACATTCTGACACAATGGCTCCGGTCTCCTGTTCCACCCACAGACTAAGTGGATTAAAGATTTCAGTCCAAATCTTCCCAGGAAACCATGTAAACCGAACCCACCGACCCCTGCTTGTCTCTCACATCCTCTCTCCTAGTGTGGGGGGTGACGTCCCACTGTGTTACAGGTGGGAACAGATGAGGTACTGGGCGGGGGGAGACACCTTTCTTTCCCCTTCAAGCAGTGTGCTTGTTGGGGAACACGTGAACTCACTGCCTCTACAAATGGCTCCCAAAAGCAAGTCCCTCGTGGACCCTCACAAACGGCTGTATCGAACCACGAGGCAGCCCCAGGACCTTCCTGCACACAACACTACCATTCCAACTCAGTCAAGGGCTTACTGAGGGTAAAGCAGCATCGGCAAAGGACCTGTGGATTTCCAAGCCAGACATCAGAAAGGGCTAAGAGGCAAATATAAGCCACTGCCTCCTGGAGCAGAAACGGTCTAAGACAAGAGATCATCTGACCCCGTGATGAGACACATGGCCGCACCTGCCCTGCCCATGCCTGTACCCTTGGCAGGCATTAGCGATCAAACTCTGTCCTCACCCACTCAGATTTAAAATCCTCTGGGCAGCCACGGCGAATTAATCAGACATGGCCCCTGAAAGCACAGCCTAAACCACTCCTGAATTCCAACTTTCCCATTTGATGGATGGGGAAACAAAGGCCCACAGAAAACTGCAGTGCAGATCATGCAGTGCTGCAGAGCCTGGATGAACCTGGATGGGAGGCTTCCAGAAATTACCTCTCTACCCCAAAACAAACCTCAGCTTCCTGGTGACAAGCTCAACCCACAAATTACCAGGAGAGAGGTCACGAGGAAGAATTCAGCAACCCTCACCAGAGCTGCTGGACAGAGGCGCCCAGCCCACCCTGCCAACCGCCCCTACCACTCTGGTCCCAGGAGCAGGGGAGGCTCTTTTCATGTTTCCTTCTTCTTCCTCCTCCCTCCCTCCCTCCATCGGTCCTTCCTTCTTTAGCCCTCCCTCCCTCCATCTTTCCTTCTCCCTCCCTCTCTCCTCCCTCCCTCCAGGTGTTCACCCTTCCCCAGCTAAGGAGCACTTTACCCACATCCACCTGTCGTGAAGAAACACAGGGGACAGGACGACAGGAAGTCTGGCTGGGTGGCTACTGTGCCCTTGGCCTCCCCAGCCCCGCCTCACCTGAGCACTGCCATGCACGCCCTGGGACTCCCAAGCTAACCCTCTCCCCCGTCAGCCCTTTCCACCAACAAAGCCACAGCTACTCTCCAAATCCGAGCAAGCACCACCCTGAGTCTGTGCCCAGCCTGGGCAGAAATCACATCAGATCCACAGGGGGAGAGTTAAAAATGAGATGAACATGAGGAGAGAGCCAAGTGCCCAGGTGCTTGAGGAGAGGGGAAAGGTGGGCACTGACAGCCCCTCTTCCTGAAAAACGTGAGGGCGTGGTCTGTACTCACCTGCACAACTTCTATCCCTCGCTTCCTGCAGAGAAAAACAGAGAAAATACACATTACTCCAGCAGGCAGAACACATCCTTCCTGAAGGCTGGCTACAGCCAGCTGAGGCGGGCCTGGGAGGAGTGCTTCAGGAGGGGAGCGGAAGCTGCCCCTCTCATGCCAGCCTCAGAACAGTTCTCAAGGGGAAGGTTTATGAGCTCCTGGTCACCCCTCAAAACCACCTCCCGGCTGAAGGAGAGGGTTGGCCCCCCAGAGGGACTTGGCTGGAGTCCTGTGGAGACCCCACGGCAGGCTGTCAGCTGTCGCCCTCCAATCCAGGGGCCCCCACAGGCACAGCTCCGGCCCGGACTGCCCCGGGACCCAGCACCACCGAATCCCTGCTGTCCCTGCTAGGCTCACCCCAGTGCTTCACGCCCTCCTGCCATAGCAGGTCTAAGGCCTCAGCCTGGCCCCAGACCCTGACTCACCCCACCTGATTTTAAGAGCCTCATGGCTTGGGTCTGGGTCTGCCCGGGGCTCACAAAGGCTCCCTGCTGACTCACCCGCCCTTCTCTCCTGCGCCCCACATTTCTTACTCCAAGCCCAGCAAATACCATCTGGGCAGTTCCAGCACACAGGGCTGTCTCCTGACTTGGTGCACACCTCCCACCCCAGCCTGTAGAACTTGGACCAGACAGAGACTCTCCCAAGAGGCCTTCTCTGATCCACCATACCCTCCCCCACCCACACCCACAACACTCCTGAAGAACTCGGGGCCACCACGCTCCCAGCCCTTTGTTCTGGAGTATTGATCACCATCACCCAGGGACAGGACGAATGCTGGTGCAGGGCCACTGGGATCTGTAGGGACAAAGGTGCCGGAGACAGCATACCATGAGCGTTTTGCTGGAAAGAAAGGCCCGGCCTGCAGCAAATGCCCAGAGAAGGCTGCAACCAGGCAAGGCCAGGCATCTGGAGTTTACTCGCCCAGGCTCCTTGGAGCAGGGACTGTGCCAAATTTTAAAACCATGTGTGCCAGTGCCTAGCCATGGTGCCCACCTGGTACACAGACACTCACAAACAGTTGCTGGTAAGTGAAGGCATAAATATGCAAGAACTTAGCTTCGTTCCTGAGCCCCGCACTCGCAGGGCACAACAGATTCAACAGCCATAGTCTGGGCCCTCGAGGGGCTCAAAGTTCAAGGAGGAGACAGGCACAGAGCCCCACAGGGAGCTCTGGGCATCCATGAGCAACCTCACATCACACAGAACAGCTGATGTGACACCTACCAATTCCTACGGTTGCTTGTTGGATCATTCAGCAAGTGCTTCCTGAGCACCTTCTGAGAGCCAGGCAATGAGCAGAATCTCACAAAGGAGTCACACAAAAGGCCAAGAGCGGACCAGGTCCCACTGTGGGGAGCACCCAGCGGCCTTCCCTCCAACCACCACCCCCACCTCAACAGAACCCTGGGCCCCAAGGAACCCAGTTTGAGAACCACCATAGTTGATGGTTTCAGTGCCCTCACTGTCACTTGGCTCCTCTGCTGTTCCTGAAGGAATGGCAGCCAATATCCATCCACTTTCATGATTTCATGAGGGATGGGCTAGACACACAACAACACAGCCCTGGGCCACCAAAGCCCACAAAGAGGGGACAGACAGTGTTATGAGGAACCTGGGCTGCACCAGTCATCTGGGCACCTGTGGACACCTCAGAGCCCCGGCCCCACTGCAGGGGAGAGAAAACCGCAGTGAGCATCCCTGTGGGGAGCCTGCCCCCGGCCAGCCTAGGCTCCAGCATGCTTCCTCCCACCCCCAAACGACCAAGGATGTGGACCGCACAGTGGGACAGGCAGGCGACAGAGGTGCGTAAGTGACCCACAGCAGCTGAAGCAGGCTTCTGCCGGGCTCTGGGCTGTGGCCTCAGTTTCTTTCTGAGTTAACCCTGCTGGCATCCAGATTATCCCAGCATGTGGCTCTCATCTCTTTACGGAGCCAACCGCGGTCACTTCCAATCGGTCCACATTTTACATCATCCCAGACAGCTCTCCCTCCCCTAGTCCTAAATTTTAAAAAAGTCTCTAACTTTGAAAACAGATGGAATATATAAAATAAGAAAGCAACAAAAAAAGTAATCTAGAGAAAAGATTGGCTGAAATCCTAAGTGGGGCTGAGCTCCCAGGAGCCACCATGGCTCCTCTGCAGCTCAGGCACCAAGAACAGGATAAATTGTGACTCTGGCAGAAAAGAGGGGACTTGGTCCCCCTTTCGGTCCCCATCAGGCCACACACTTACACTAGCCATCCTCGGTGGTGCTCAGGGCTCACTGACGCCTTCTGTGGCCCCATGAGGGAGGGATGGGCTCACCCCATCACTCGGATGGATGAGCAAGCAGAGGCCCGGGGGACTCGGGAAGTGCAGGAGCTGGCCCGGAGCCAGGCTGTCCCCGAGCCAACACATCCACCACCAGGTGGACCATGGCTGGCTCGGGCAGCACCAAGAAGGGTCTCCAGCCTCCAGGGCCTCTGTGTGACCGGGAACTGGGCAGAAAACCACATTCCCTCCGGTGGAGGAACCCCATGCACACTGCCACAGCCTCTCAGGGAAACAAAATAACCTTCCAGGGCTCGTTTCTCCATGGGGAACTTCTGCAGAACAAAGCTACCGACAACCCTGACGCTCTAAGGAGCAGGTTGCTGAAATCCTGCCTTAACCAGAAAGTTCAGAAATTGAATTATGAAACTAAAGGGGAAGAGGGAGAAGGAGGGGCATGAGGGCCCAGGGGAGGAAAAGAAACCAGAGAACTGGTTGTGGAGTGATTAATTGTTCCTCCTGAAAACAACTCCACAATCCCACCCAATCACCCCGCAGATATACTCAAATGTGCAAAATGTTTCAGGCTCTGGGTTGTTAATTGCCTGTCTGCCATAGCGAAAGACCAGCAGCAAACTAAACTTCCCCAAGAGCAGCCACTAACAACCTGTCCACAATCAAAGGAATACTACACCGCACTTAAAAAAAAAACCCAGGAAGCTCTCCATGTGCCCATAAGGAATCATTTCAAGACACTGCTATGTGAAAAATGTAAGATGCAAAGCCTTGTGTGCTGTACATAATTATTTGTGTTAAGAACAACCTCCAGGACAAGAATGTGTGCTTGTGTACACACAGAACGAATGTGAAAGTACTACAAGACAATGATCGCAGCTCGGCCTCCGGTCAAGGGTGGGGAAGGGGAGATTTCCATTTCACTGTGTCCCCTTCACACCTCCTTGAATTTTGTGTCACGTGCCTATAACATATTCTCAAAAACTCAAAAACTATTTTAAAAATCATTTTTTAAATAGATGTCAGATAAAGGCATGAATCAATCCATTAACTGACGGGTGAGGCAAGGCAGAGGCGAGCTCAGGATTTATCAAGCTGAAATAACACCCCTTGCAGGGCCTGGGAGCGAGGTACTGGGGCACTCCACACAGATTCCAAGCCCACCTCGACGCTCGGGTACCTGGAGGTAACGAAGGGCACACGCTGCAGAGCTAACTGCCCTGCCAGGCTGGGTGACGCCAGGTAGGTGCCGTGGTTTTTCCTTTATACTTTCCTGTGTTTGCTGTGTTTTCTGCAATGAGCATACATACAGCAGGTCCTCGAATGGTGTCATTTCATTCAACATTATTTCGTTATAATGTTGATGAGGGGGGAAAAAATCGATTCCCAGCAGAGGCCGCTGTCAGTGTGGAGTTGCACTCCCCATGTCTGTATGGGTTTTATCTGGTTTTTTTGCTTTCAAAGATATCAGATTAACTGGCGGGACCAAATCGATGTTTTAGGGACCAGATACATGCTATAGGAACTTAATTTTTTTTTTCAGCCCATCCTTCTGCAGAAAGAACTTAACTCTTGTTTCTATGCTAAAATTGGTTTCATTTTAAGTCATTTCCCTTAAAATCGCAGTTTCCAAGAACTTATGGACAGCATTGAGTGAAGACTTATCATTACTTCCAAACTTATAAGAAAAGTAACAGTAAGTGTTAAAATTTAATAATGAAAGTATTAAAACCTACACCTGGAGATAATTTTCATAGGCTCTACACCTCATTTTCTTGATAAGCACTGCATTAGTAAGTTTTGGGCAAAGGTCTAGTCCACAACTCAGAAATACAAACTTGCTTTTCCAAACGTCCATGAAGGGAGGATCTGCTTTGCAAAGCAATGCCTCTCCCCAGAAGTCCAAGGAGAGTACCTTGGTGAATTTAACATACTCGCAAAAGACTGATCCTTGCAGGGAAGGAGGGGCAGCATCTGCTGTCTGATGGAGCAATGAGGGTGACTACAGATGTGAGGCATCCCCCCTCCTCAAAGGGGCAGGCGGGGACACTGAGAAGCAGGAAAGATGACGTAGGCTGGGGCATGTCCCAGAGGCCCAGGTGTCACCTTGCAGCCTGGCCTTTACCCCATGGGCCAGTGGGTCTCAAATGCCAGGGCAGATGACCTAAGAATCACCACTGGAGCTTATCAAAAATATACTAATTTGAGGTCTGCTCCTGAGGACTCTGATTCAGGGAAGTCTGGGGCAGGGACTGGGAGGCATGTGGGGTTTGCCGAGCTTCCAGGTGTTGCTCAGGAATAGAGCAGTCAGGTATGGGAACAGCTGCTCATCCACAGGGAGCAACTCCCTGTGCTTGACCTTAAGGAACAGAAGCAGGATCCGACTTACTGGGGGAGGCGCGGGCTTAGGGGCAGCCCCACCAGGCCTTGGGGGCAGAAGTAAAAGAGGCATGAAAACTGGAAGTAGCTGTGATGCTCACCAGCTGGGGAAGCAGGCCAAGGCCCTGTATCCAGGGCCCAGAAAGGAGAGGACATCACAGGAAGATGGTGACATCCACTTTTCAACCATGGTGGTACCAGGAAGTAGTTAGAAGCCCAGGACTGAGCTTAGCAGGGTTCAGGGAGTTAGAAGAAAACCTGGGAGGCAGGTGGAAGTGGAAGAGGTAGGGTGAGTCCCCCAAGAGGAGAATATGGAACCAGACCCAACTGTACTTT